AGACATAATGCACATGCATGACATGTTATAACATTAACACATGAATGCCATGGAAAGTAAGCTAAAGCATTTCATGCTTCCATAACATATTGCCAAGGCAAAACATAACATAAACTTGCAAACATAACTTTGCAAACATTTCATCATAGCTTAGTCACATCATGGCAACACAATCACATCATGCAAGCATACATATCAAGCACACAGTATAGGTAAGTTCACTACCTTGTAACATGGCTTTCCCCTTGCTTTTCCTTTGGTTTCCTTGTCTTTCCAACCATGTGGACATTCCGTCAACATCACCAAACATCCTCTTGGATGTTCCAAAGGTCCTAAACATAGTCACATTGATCATACAAACCATTAGGACCACTAGATTACATAAAGTTCAAGACTAGCTTTCTTGAACCTCAACCCTTTCTCTTAGTCTTAGGGTTTTCTTTCCAACTTTTCTAACATAAATCTTATCATTTCCATCCTTAAGATCCATTTCTTGTCAATTAGGACCACTTTAGATGGCCTTAGATTCAAGAATACCAAATCTGGAAATTTTGCTTCGCGGGTACTGTTCACGCAGAATTTCCAGAATTTTTGCTCAACTTTGAAAATTCATAATTAATTCTAGAAAACTCCAAATTGAGTGCTTCCAAGTCTCACTGAAAGATCCTAAGTTAACTTTAAATGAAAAATAGTTTCAGGAACCAGTTCTACGCCGAACAGTACCGGAACTGTACGGAACTCGAAACTCTTCCAAAAGTTCAACACTGTTTCCAGATTTCAAACCCTAACTTTGAAAAATCACCATAAATCGTACACATATCCAAATGAAGTGTTCTACCTATGGATTTAAAGCTCACAGAGTGTACTTTAAGCATGAAAAATTTCAGAATCAGATACGCACAGTAACTAATCCGAAATAGGCATAAAATCAGGTGCTATAACCACCACATGCCGTGTTTTAGAGTTTGATCTGGCTTGGAACCACTTGGCCTTTCTTTCTCCCTCTTCTTTCTCTCTCTAGAAACCATTTTGCAAGAGCTTCCCCATGGATTCCTTATGCTTGGACGAAATGGTAGGGAGGGGAGGGGGTATTTATAGAAAAACAGACCGAATCTGGACCGTTGATCTTAAAAATACGTGGCTCGATCTGGACCGTCCATTTTCTCTTTTGATCTTACGGTGACAAGTGTCCTATGACATCATGCTTACCTCATCATGATGACATCATGCTTACATCATCAAGCCACATGTCTTTAATCCGACCGCACACGTGCCTTGCATCCGACCGTACACGTGTCTTCCATCTAGCCGTACACGTAATATTTTCTTTTTCTCATCTAACCGTACACTTGTCACTTTTATGTCCTTTCATCATTTATGGCATTAAAATAGGGAGAAAATAAATGGAAATTCGTGCAAAAATATCTCCTTAATTATTTCTCCACCTATCAAGCCAATCTTGCACCATATCAGATACTTTTCGGGTCCTGACTTACCCTGTACCACCAGGACATGTTCTGACACTATTTTCTCATCTTAATTAAGTACATATATGGTGCCACCTTAGAGGAGCATAGATGAAAATAATTAGCTCTACTGACAGGCTACTTAACCTTACTGAGTCATGCAGTAGAGATTTCGCTATAATGGGTAGACAAAAGATTGTCTAAAATATTCCCATACTGCGTTCTGATTTTTATGCTGTCCATAAATATCTTCTGGTGACTCAGCATGATGACTCGTAGGTGTCATGATTACGCTTGATGACTCAGCATGATGACTCGTCGGTGTCATGATTACGCTTGATGACTCAGCATGCTGACTCAGCATCGTCATGATGGCTTTTAGATATTTTCTTTGGTTTTGTCTCCTATTTAGGGGACAAAATTATTTAATATTTGACTGGAGCATTTTATTCAGTCCAGAGCTCCAAAAATTCATCCAAAAATATCATAAAATTCCTCCTATTCTAGAGAAAATCTATGAATTTTCTCAGGTCATAACTCAACCTATAGCCCCACTTAAAAATCATTCTTTAAAATGCCTTTTTTGGGCACAACTGGCTTTTAAGTATTCTTAAAGCCATTTTGCTTGTCTTCTAGGGATGAGACTAATTTTATAATTTTCTATAGTCTCTTAGATCATACATCCCCATTTTACCATAATTTTCTGAGGTTTCCTTATGACTCAAACAAATAAATCTACCTCTACATCTTAAATTGAGCCATAAACTTGTAAATTCCTTTTAAGTTACCTCAGGGGTATTTTCATCATCTCTCTTCACAAAAGAGTCTTAGAATATTATTTCCCATTTTCTGGGATTTTCTTAGAATTTTCTAAGTACTTTCCATTTTTACCCCTGATGGCCGTAACTTTCTGAATTTACGGTTTTACCCCTGCTTAGGCTCAACCTCATAAAACAATCTCTTTGAGGCTTCTAACTTAACCTTTGGTTTGTATCTAGCCTCTTTTCTCTTTCTGGGCCTTTGAGACTTTACTGGAGCCTCTAACTTTGATTACCCTTTAGCCCCTTAAAACATTCACTTTGCAGTTTAGTCCCTAAAACTGCTTTAACTTTCTTTCTAATCTTTAAGACCTCTACTAAAAAGGGGTCTGGTAGCCTATCTCATTTAGGCTATTTCTGATACTTCTAGGCCTAAAAATCAGGATGTTACATTAACTCTTTCCTGCACTTTCTTTTCATCCCAAAATGCAAGAGCATCCTTAACATGTGAAGCTTTTGTTTCCCCCAATGGAAACTTTTGTAGACAATATATCTGCATGTGACATGAATGATAAGTTAACAACAGCCATTGACAACATTCAGACCATAAAATGACAACAGAAATATACAAATTATAATAGCACTTACTTGTAGGAAGTATAGACAGCCTGGAATATTCTTCTTCTTCTCAGTCAACTTGCCTTTTTCCAATTGTTTCTTGTACACTCCAATGCCCTTGTATAGTTCATTTAACACATAAGATGACCAATCAAACTTACCCAATCTATCCTTTGTTGATAGTATGACCTTCAACAAATAATCACCAACACAAATACTTGCATTAGGACACAACAACGTTCCCAATGCATACATCACAAACAGCATCTCAAAATTTTCATCTTGTTTCTCCTCGGTCAACAATGAAGCTATCTTCTTGTATGGAATATTGCCATACACAGTCCTCCATTGCTTGAACACTTCATCTTCACTACTCACAGCTGCTTTAATCTCTTCCCCCTCAAATGGTAGCCCCATAAAGTCATGCACATCATTTGCCCCCATTTTCCTTCTCTTCCCTCTTATGGAAATGCTTTTTGTAGGAATGTCAAATGCACACATAAACTCTCCACACAATTCTCTTTGAATTGTGTGGCAACATAATTCAACCAACTTATCAAAACCTATCTTTTTTAGCCTATCCATCAGGTCCTTCCTTTCTTTGACATGCTTGCAAACTTGTACAAATTGTTTAGGTGCACATCTTGTATAGAAAGGAACTATATACTTCTTGGACTTTGTAGGAGCTCTTTGTTCCCTAGCCCTTTGACAATATTCCTCTTTTTGCTTTTCAGATAATTTATCCCAGGCCTTCCTCACATGTGGATTCCCTGATTCAAGGGATTTGTACTTGCTCGAGGTTTTTTTATAGAATTCCTCTGTGAAAAGGACAAGGCATTGCTTCCATCCTTCCCCATTTTCTTAACCTACCAAAAAAGACAATAGCATCACATAACTTGCCCAATACAGCAGCTCCCAACTCTGTCTTGATTATTATCTAAGTTGGTTTCTTTACTACATCAAGCTCAATGTACTTAGTAATTTCTAAAAAAAGGAATTCTGATTAATAGCATTCAGTAATGGGAAGCAACACAATCTGGAAGATTACTAGGACCCAAATAACTCAGCAGAAGGGGAAGAATACCAAGTTGGTAAAGGTTTCCAAATGGAAAAGCACTTCTACTATCCGTGCCACTTTCAAAATTGCGTTGAAGAAGCATACTGTATCAAAAGTATTAAAAAGTTCTTCTACTATTAACACTAGTTCGAGAAAACTATCCAGACCATTAAAATCAGCAAAAGCAGGAGGGATACACGTTAAAAAATCTGTAAGATCTTCCAATGCATGTCATCACGCTGTACAAAACTATCAATTATGTGCAAGTTTCTTTTTTAATCATATTTTTGCTCAATGCATCTTCTCCAAATCCATTTCGTGTTGTCACCAAACTTACTTAAATTACTACATTTATGATTTTATCCACGCTCAAGCACTACTCATTCCCTCATTAGTATTCGGTAATGGGAATTGCAAGTGGATTATACTTTAAACAACAAACTGGCAGCAAAGAATGAAAGGGAAAAATGCTGGAAAAACAAACCATGATTTGTAATCTCTGCCTCCGTCGTTCAGTGAATTTATGTTCCAAGAAATCAGCCTCTCTGCCTCCGTTGTTCACTCAAATTTCGTTCCCAGAAATCAACGTCTTTGCCTCGGTCGTTCAGTCCCTTTTCCTTCCCAGAAATCAGCGTCTCCTCTCCGTCGTTCAGTGGCTTTTTGTTCCCAGAAATCACCGTCTCTGCCCCGCCGTTCAGTGACTTTCCGTTCCCGATCAATCAGTGTCTCTGCCTCGGTCATTCAATGACTTTCCATTCTCAGAAAATAGCATCTCTGCCTTTGTCGTTCAGCTACCTCTATTCTCAGAAATCGCCGTCTCTGCCTCCGTCGTCCAGCGCCCTCTATTCCCAAAACTCGACTTCTCTGCTTCCGTCCTTCAAAACTCGCCTCGTCTCACTCCGTCGTTCACTCCGTCGTTCAGCGCCCTCTGTTCCCAGAACTCAACTTCTCTGTTTGCGTCCTTCAAAACTTGCCTCCTCTCACTCCGTCGTTCTCAGCACTTAGGTCTCCACAGCTTTTCTCCCTTCAACGCTGCGTTTTCCAACTTCTCCAACATAGCCGGCCGTGCGTGGCTTCCCAGGGGAGAGCTCCAACGGATTTCACTTTAGGGGCAAGAGAGTAATTTGTGGATTATTAAAATTGCATCTAAGTCCCTTTGGGACTTCAGAAAAATTATGACATTTCAGGGGACTTTTTTGCTGTATTTTGGCTTCTGTGGGACCTCAATGTCATTCTCCCCTTTTTTTTTCCCCCTGTTTTTCCTTTTCCTTGTAACTGAACAAGTTATGAGAGGGAGAAAAGAAAGAGCCCAGTCATGCATATGTGGAGGAGAGGAAGTGAAGAAGGAAATAGAAGAAGAGGATAAGATGGAATAAAAAGAAGCAGTATTTTAGTCTTTTTCTTAATATTTTGTAATTTATATTTAAGATCAGTCTTTGATAGTATTTTTCTTATTCAAGTGCTCATTTTGTTATTTTTTAGTTTTAAAATTCTTTTAATACGATTTTTCCTAATCTCTATACTAATATATTTCATCTTCTCTTTCGCATAAAAAGTTATTTAATTAATTTAAAAGGATTAAAAATTAAATAAATTAGATAAATATAACAAATGTCACATAATTTTTCTAAAATATCTATGTATGATATTAGATTATACATTTAGTTTATAAATTTGATAAATTATTTTTTAAAAGAAAAAGAATAAATATGATAGATAAAGTAATCTTATATTTAAAATCAAATTTAACATCCAAAATTTAGGGTTAATTCCATTTTTAATCTCTAAAATTGGACCTCATTTTAGTTTTGATATATGAAATTTGATACCAATGGTTCTTTTTTTTTTCCAAACAAAAACAGTCAATCTTATTAGCATTAAAAGAAATATGTACATACATAAAGAGCCACTTAATGTCCCAAAAAAAGAAAAGCACTCACAAAAGCCTAAACATACAACCTAGCACACCAAAAAAAACTCACCAAAACAATACAAACTAACAAGAAAGCCTAAACAACACAAGAAAGCAGAAAAGAAAGCCCAAACACCAGAACAATTAACCAACTCCAGTCCTATCCCTAACATCAGCGAAAGAGTCAATAAGATCAACAAGTGCCAAAGAGAGGATGGTGACTAAGAGAGCCATCCAACTGAAACCAATCCCCTCATAATGCTAGTTGCTAAATAGTAAGCAGCTTTGTTTCCTGGTCTGGAAGCCAAAGCTAAATCCCAACTCCTCATGGACCCTTGCATCCTCTAACACATCTTCAAATCACAACCTTTGAGTTCTACCTTCTTCATTTAGTTGAAACTATTGGTTTTAGTCTTTAAAATTTAACTTTATTTTGCTACGCTTAAAGATTTTTAGTCTATAGATCAGTGTTTTTGGTCCTTAAAACAAGGAGCAAAATCAAAATAAGATCAAATTTCAGGAGTTAAAACCACTAATTTCAAATTTTATGAACCAAAATTAAAATGATGTCAAATTTTAAGATCAAAGCCATTGGTTTTGAATTTTAGAAACTAAAACTAAAATAAGATCAAATTTTAGGAATCAAAATTACTAATTTCAAATTTTCAATAGTAAAAATTTCGAGAACTAAATATAATATGGATCCCTAAAATTTAAACTGTCTACTAGAGATCTTCATTACCTTAAATTTTGGGTTTCTTTAAAATAGTCTTTCTTTTATTCAATCATTTTCTTTTTGCCACCAAAAATATTCAGAGTCATTTGCATTATTTGCAAGGGCGTCATAATAGTACTCTATCTTTTCTCTTTTTTTCCTTTTTTGGCAGTCATAATAGTATTCTATTAAACATTATCTTGTTCATTGTGTAACCAGGAAAAAATTATCTCGTTCATGCGTTGCTAAAGAGATATTCTAGTTTATTAAGCAAAGTGATAAAGTCTTTATATGTGAATTACTCCTTGGTGCTTGGTCCTTAATTTAATACTTGTTTAACTAATTTGATTATTAAGTTAATTATAATTAATTTAACATTTTTTCCTCTTTTTATAACAATCTGACTTTTTTTTTTCAGAATGCCCTTGTTTAAAATTAAAAAAAAAAACGTATTTGGGGAAAAAAAAAAAAAGAGACTCTGGTGGAAGTTTCAGTCCAACATAAAAATGAGTAGAATTGATGTGCGTGGCACGAATTAGAATCAAGTATCAATTTATAGAATATGTGAATACGCCATTTTTTCCAGTCCCACCAATAAATGAAAAATAAAATAAAATAATAATAATAATAGAAGAAAAAATTTTCTTGATTCTTTCATGAAGGCCAAGTTTAAAAAGTATACTATGTAATAAAGAAACAAAAATCAAATAAAAATTACCTCCCTATAATAAATGACAATGAAAGAAAAGATGAGGTTAAATGCTGATTGATCTTCAAATTAAGAAATGAAATATGAAATCATTAAGGAGGAAAAAAATTTTAAAAAAAAATGAATAAAACCCCTCATTTAAAATAACTTGCTTCCCAATTAGAAGTATCTTTTGGAATTATAATTGTAAAAAATAAAGAGAGAGAACAATGTCTCCGCTAACTTCTTTTTCCACTTCCTCTCCATATAATTTTTTCATCATTGGATTATCAGATTTAAAATTGAGTAAAAATATTATTATAATATTAAATATAATAAAAATTTATCATATTAAACTACTTATATCAAATTTTAACACTTAATAGTATAAATTTATTTATATATTTTTTATTATTTAATTTTAATATTTTAATAATAACTGTACAAAAATAAATCTTAGCCATTGAAGTTTAATCTAATAATGAAACCTTTTTTTCCTTCTCTGTGTAATCTGACCTAGTTTTCACAAATAAAATCAATAAATAAAAATTGTTTTCGAAACAGTTTCATGTCGTGTGAGGTTTTTTGAACCTCCTTAGGTAAAATTGATTATTTTTTTCGTCTGAAATTATTGGAATCTCCTTAGAAAGTTTAATCTAAAAGTTTTTTAGAAAAGAGCTAAAGTTCTTAAATATCCCACAAGTATCTATAAAAGAGCACTTAGCATTTGAAATTTTTTTTGTTCTAATATACACGAAAATATTTATTTCATAGTTTTTTTGTCGTGAACTGTCAACCACTGTTAAGTTTGACTGTTAAAGACATATATTAAAACACTTAAAATTATAGTCAAACTTTACTATAGATAACAGCTAGGATATAGTTGCCATGAAAATAAACTTTTAGGATATCTAAGAGCAAAAATAAAAACTTTTGGTTGATGAATGCTCTTTCATAGATACTTTTGGGGTATTTAAGCACCTTAACCATTGGAAAATAATAAGATTTCAAAATGATTTTATGCCATGTGAGGTTCTTAAAACTTTCTTAAGCAAGATTGATTATTCTTTTGTATGAAATTATTGAAATCTCCTCAAAAATTTTAATCCAAAAGCTTTTCAAAAACTTTGTTTTTCAACTTAAAAAAAAAATAAAAGAATTTTTTTTATCCCGTAAAAGAATACAAACCAATTAAAAAATAATTTTTTCAAATAAATAACATAAAAATTATTCATAAAAAACATCAATTAAGTGGTACGCATTCATATTCCTTGAACTATGTGGGTTTTAATTCTTCTAAAAGGTATGTAAGCCCTAGGTTCTCTTTTTAGATCAAGTCCAACTTTGTAAATAAATTAATATTTTTCCTTTTATTTTTTCCTTTTTGTGAATAACAATTTTTTAATTTTTATTTCTTTTTTGGGTAATTACAATATAATTTAAGGCCATATTAATTTTAAATAATCGATTTAGGGTAACCGTTCTCTTGAACGGGTACTATAGGGTGCCTAATTAGAAGGAAAAATAAGGTAAAAATAATTAAAAAATTATAAAGACTTAATTAAAATTAGAAAACTATAACTATTGATAAAATAATTTCCATATTGATATCTATGAAAAATAGAAAATGAAGAAAAATATAAATACAAAGTACAAAAATTGAGGTTATTATTGGTTCAAATTATATTTGCTGAGGAGAATTATTATAAAATCTTAAAGAAATAATGTAATAACCAGAATGTTTTATAAACAAGTGAGCAAAGTGAAATTTTACTACATCATTTTTTTCTTGTGAAACTTTTTGATAATTATATTTTTTTCTAAGTATAGGTATTTGTCTAATGGAAGCAAACTTGCTCAAAGTCTTATTAGGTATTAAATGTAGACACCTCTCTTAACAAGAATTCGAATTTTGGCTCAATGTCTTGTGAGGGATTAGTTCTTTTCACTAAATCCAATCTTCAATATATATATATATATTTTTTGAAAACCTCTGTGATTCTCTTTTTATTGGCTCAAAATAAAATAAAATAAAAAGTCCAGTGAGCCTTCCCTTTACTCATCTGCAACAAAATAATCTTTTGTTGCCGGTGGTAATAATTAAAATTACATTTTTTTTTCAATGAAAGATCAAATGCTTTGAAATAGACAATATTTACCAGAAAAGGCTTCAAGTCACAGAACCAGAAAATAAGGGCAATAATTAAAAAGAAGTAATGATATCATTAATAACAAGAGAAATGGACAAAGGGGGTATAATGCTAATAATTTTATGGTTAATATGTGTTTGGTCTTCTAGATTTATATCAAGCTTTAATTTAACCCCTTAAATTTATAAAGGGTATTTTCAATTCTCTTAACGTTAACACAGTTAATTTCATTACTAGAAAAACTTGATTTAACAAATTTTAATGGTAACTTTATAATTGAATATTGAAATATTAATCTATAATTGAAAATTTGTAAATTCAAAAAAATTTAAACAAAATCTAATAAAGATGTAGTAATATCTGAAAGATCCGATTCACAATTTATATTGATTGAACAAATTGTTGGAATTCCCAAAGTGATATATTCCCGAAAAGCCATACATTCTTTTTGCTGATCAATGATTACCACAATATCGGGTACATCAACAGCCCATCTTTCCATATCTAAAAACATGGGATAATATAAAATTTAATACTTTTTGAAAAAACTAGAATAGTAGTAATCGATTTATTTATACGTTTATGAGTACTTTTGCAGAGTCACTATTTAGATTCCTTGAGTTAGTAGTTTTTAATAATGAGACCTATGGTGTTAACATTTAGTGACTAAAAATATACTTTCTATATTTAAGAAACTAAATTAAAACTTGATGAACTTAGCCGACCAAACGTATACCATAAAATTATTAGTATAGATTTTTTTTGTGGCTAAAATTGAAAGAGTTAAGGGTGAAGGGGTAAATACCTGTTGTAATATTGAAAAGAAGTATCAGGCACCATAATAAAATGTTGGGGGTAAAAATACCCATTAACTTTTTAAAACAGGACAAAAATGCTATTTTCATGAGGGTTAAGGTGCAAATATACCTATAAACTTGTACAAAATGTACACCTGGCACCATAAACAAACCTTGGATGCAAAAATACAGATGATGATTTAAAAAGTTGCAGAAATGCCATGACCGTTAATTATTGTAACGTTGACCATTTGTTTGACTGAAGGTGCTGACATGGATGCTGATATGAATGCTGATGTGGCTTAGGGGGTCTAATAAAAAATAGTAATGGTGCAAATATACCTACAAACATGTCCCAGATGTGTGTTCAACACCATAAACAAAACTTAGGTGCAAATATACCTATGATCATTTCAAAACAACTTTAAATTGCTACAGTTGTTTAATTCATCAAAGATGACTTTCTAATTCAAACTTTTAATTAAAAACGGTGACACGGACCCTAAGCTAGTGTTTTAGTCTCCCTCCTTCAAGCACAACTCATTGTGCAACTCGCTCCTCCTTTCAAATGATCGCGTTTCAGTCTCCCTCCGATCCTAATAATGTTCTCTCCTCACTATTGCACTTTCATTGAAAAGAAACAAACTGAAACTCTCCACAAAACTTACTCCGTCATTTCATCTATCAAAGTCTCTCTTTTTCTAAGAAGAGCAACACTACTCTCTCTTAGTTGCTCTTGTCACGTCTCCTCTAGTTTGTAAAGAAGAGAGGGTTACACTTGAAGGAGAAAGACTAAAACACTAACTTAATATCTATATTACCTTATTTGGCCAAAAGTTTGAGTTAGACAGTCATCTTTAATAAATTAAACAACTAGAAAATAATCTTAGGGTTCTTTAGAATGATAATAGGTATTTTTACACCCTAAGTTTGTGCATAGTGTCAGGTGTGTATTTGACAAAATTTTATAGATATATTTGCACATTTACTCTTTTTTGGTCAGACTCTCTAAGCCATATCAACGTGTACTTCTGTGCCTTCGGTCAAACAAACGATCAACGTTACAATAATTAACAGTCATGGCATTTTTGTAACTTTTTGAAATCATCATGTGTCTTTTTAATCCCAAAGTTTGTTTATGGTGCTAGATGCACATTTGGTATAAGTTTATAGGTATATTTGTACATTCACTTTTTTTGTTAATTGTCCTTAATATCTATCCCTTTTATTTTTGCGGGTTCCATCAAGCATATATGTGTCAATCTCCCATCTAACTTAGCCTCTCACCCTTCTCTTGTCCTAGTCAGCTTGTCCCCTCACACACCCTCTTCCTCCTTTGCCTTTTCTTTCCTCCCCCCTACCCTCCTCGTCCCCTCACCTCCTCATCCCTTTTCTATTTCCATATTTTTCCATCATCCTAACTATTCTAACCTTTCTTTCCTTCTCCCTTCTCGTTCCTTTTTCCTTATCACATACCACAATAGAATTTAGTTTTCACTTCTTTACCATCCAGGGTTCTCACTTTCTTTTCTTTTTCATGGAATTTTGGGGTCTATACACAAAGTATGTGTTGTTCATCCTCACTCTTTCTCATCCGTCATTTGTACACAAACCAACAGCAGAGTTTTTTTTTTTTGAGCAACAACGACAGATTTTTGTTAATTGTTGTCTTTCATTATTTTTGGGCCTACAATATCTATTTTGGTGGCCAATAATTCCCCATTTTTCTGATCAATTTCGTTACTTGATTAATTTGTTAACAATAGAATCATGCATAGAGCTACGAAGACTAACCGGCAGCTGTTTATCAATAGACAGTATCAATTTGGAAAGATACGAAAATCATCGTACCCCACTCCAAGTCAAGAAAGGGACTAACTGTTGGTGTTGTCAATCCCAGTCTTCAATCTTATGCATGCCCAGCCAACGATTTCAAATCTATTAATGGTTCTAGTGCCAGCAACATATCGTTCTTCAAATATCACCTGCCAATAGCAATGACTACTTCAAGCCCAGAAGAAGAAACAGTTTGGATGACTTCAACTCTCTATCCTCTTGCAATAGATGTCTGCCATATCTGCCTCTATGTCAGCTTTTTTAGTCAAAATATATTTTCTAAACTATCAACGTTAGTCAATTTGATGGCAATTGCAATTTAGGACACGTTTTTAAATCATTATGTGTATTTTTGCACCCAACATTTTATTATGGTGCCTATTGCTCCTTTTAAATATTACAATGAGTAAATTTGCCCCTTCACCCAAGAATTAATATGTATTTGCACGTTCATTAGTACTTTTGCATAGGCGAGAAAACATATGGTATTTGGCTCACTTTGGTTAAAAGTTTTTAGGTATTTCTGCACATTCTCTCTTTTTTAATTTTTCGAGTTAGGGGCTGTCACACCTTCCTTTTTTACCACATTATATCTCAACAAGAACCATTTGGAACTATTTCTTATGGTCTTAGATTAGAAAAATTTAAAATTTAAAATTCATTAAATTTAGGTTACTATTCATGTAACCTTAACCAAGGCCAAACTTTGAGAAATCATAACTAATTCTAGAAAAATTAAAATTAGATGGTTCCAAGTTTTATTTAAAGCTCTTAATATAATCTTTAGAGAAAAATGCTCTCTGGTATCAAACCCCTATCAGTCAATCTCGTGATTAATACAAAATAGCACTGATCATATGGTAACACTACTACAAAAAAGTTCATTTACGTCTGTTCTGATGGTCCTTTTTCGTCTGTTTTGAGGGGGACGTAGATGAAAGAGAAGTAGATAGGAAGTGAATATTAGTCTATTGCCAAACAGATGAATATGATATAATATATTCGTCTGTTCAGTTAAACAGACGAATATGACTTGTGATTTTGGTCTATTGGGAAACAGACGAAAATATAACATTATATTTGTCTGTTCCCCTGGAAGAGACGAATATAATACTCTATTTTCATCTGTTCCAGTTGAACAGACGAAAATGTTTATATAAAAAAAATGCGCACAAAAGTGAAATTTCCCGACTTTTTTTTATAGAAAATCCTGAAAATTTTTCAAAAAATAAAGTACAGCCAAATTCAACAGATTCAGACCTATTCCATAATCCATAATCCAATAATTCACTTACAAGCCCTTGTGACATTCTAACAGTTGTCATCATCATTACATAATAATTCAATAATTCAGATGCAGATCTATTCCATAATCCACAATCCAACAATTCAGATGCAATTCCATAATCCACATCATTACATAATATTTCAATAGATTCAGATCCATTCTAAGAACACATGCACAATCCTAGTAACATTCTAACATGTTTTAACAATCAAAATGGACCTAGAAACTTCAATACCATCCAAACCGGTAACCTCATGTATCATTTTGAGTGTAAAACTCTTGAAGAAATTGTCCTGCCAAAAAATCTCGGATAGCATCAATCTCTTCATTATCATAACAGTTGTCATAATCAAAGATCTGCAAGTTATATAAATAAGAAGATTGAATTCATCAAAATAAGAGAATTAAAGAAAAACAATTCAATAGAAAAAGCAAATAATCATAATTAAATGAATTATTACCATCTCAAAATTTTGAATACATTCAGACTCGATAATTTCATATATAAAACGGATAATATAATATATGCACTCTGCACTTCCTGGTTGTCGATGACACTATGAAATCAAAGTGAATATGAATATGTATATATGTAGTTGATGACATTAAAGAATTGAAAATATTCTTACTTTTGGTTTGTGCCAAACAGTCTTGTCATTTTTTCCCTCACGTTTCCCTCCCCGTATATAATATGTTTTAAAAGCCCTATGATGAAATAGAAATGACTACGGATTAAAACAACTTAATGAAGTAAGAAAACAATATATTTGACCACAAAACTTACGTGTCGAAGATATGTTTCATTTCCTTGCTTGGGGGACGACCCAATGAATCAAACTAGTAAATGACGTTATCTCGGGGACAAGGAATGCACAACGACCAATGTCCATTGAAACATAAAAAGAAGGAAAATCAGTGAAGGTTCTTTGAAAATTAAATAAATATAAATATGCAAATAAAGATATAAGCTACTTACTTTTCTATAATTAGAGCAAAATAACAAGGTAAGCGAGTGGCTGCAATGGTATTATCCACGTATCTCATCCGGCTATCAATGTTATTCTTCAAAGGTTGCAAAGTGGCTGGACACATGAATCCATACAAATGTCCCTTTCCCGTAGAAGCGCACAAGTTGTGAAAGTAGCTATCATATATTTGATACAAAACAAAAATTAATTCATACATATAAGTAAAAATGAGCAATTAGAAAATATAAATCATAAAATAAAATCACATTATTGCCAGTTGAATCTATGCAATGTCTAGCTGATCCAGGGATAGAAAGTCCTTGAGATCCCTTTGGTCCAAATCAAAATGATATGTGATTTACTCTCCCACAATCCCACTAAGCATTTGTATATTGACTTTGTTAACTGATTCATAAATGCCATACAATTGTGCCAAACAAGAAAATTTAGTAGCATCTTCAACGTCCTAATAGAAAAATAGAATAAAAATAAGTAACATAAATTGTATATGAAAGAGAAAATAGAAAATGCTTACATTTTGTACCATTGGAGATATGACATCAATGAGTCTTTTAGGCCATAAAATAAAATGGCCTTTTGCTTCGTCTAGCTTGCCAACCTCGTCACTGGGAAACGACAAATCTACATCAACTTCCTCCTCTCGAATAGCCATAACCGTCACTTTGACCAAGTCCGCTGGGATTTTTTGATTATGAATTTTAGACCCGTTTGTGTATCTAATGGCATTGGCAACAACGCACATATTTGGGTCATCTAAATAGAGAACACATGGTTCTCCATTATTTAGTGGGGGACTAGGGTCAAATGGAACTGACGGCACTTGTGGATTGAAACTCCCTTTTGTGCTGCCATAGGCTGGAGAATTTTGAGACCATGATACAAATGAAAGAATGGAATTAAATGGAAACAATGTTGGCAAAATTCAAAACAAAATTAATTATGTTGTGATTAATTATATACCTAAGGTGTACGTTCTTGTGGTTGAAATTGCCCAATTTGCATGCTTGAAACTAAAGATCTCATCTCCTCCCGAATGTCAGACATAAACTCATTTTTGAATAATTGACAAACCTCATCACTTGTCATAATCTCTTCATGAACTTGTGCTCAAATTTTGTCCATCAGGTCAGCACTTGGGACACTTCTGCCTGTAGAGCTTTGTGAACCGGAACCAAAATATTGAGTTAAACCAACTGTCTTTGATAATCCTCTCACTCGACCAGGATGGTCTAACTTCCCAATTACAGCTGCCAAGATATCCATCTTTCCACTTGGAGTAAAAGAACCTTGATTGCTCTATACCTCAAGTGCATCCTATAACGTACAAGCAATAAATGATAAGTCAACAGAATGTGAACACTAATTTAATTTAGATTGTTTTAATTCAAGTACCTACAATTTTTTGAGCAATGTCAGCAACAGTCTGATTGATATATTCACCTTTCTTCATCCTCGCATACTTCCACGTTCTATGTCGAGAAGGCGGAGACGGGGCTTGAACAACAATGCTGGGGTCTAACTTTGTAGCTTCTTGCATTTTTTGCAAATCAGTTTCCATAATCTCCTGTTGTTCCTTTCTGTAACCGCCACGAGACATGTAATGCTGGTACAGATTTTTAGCTTGTTTTTCTTTATTTTGAGCACTTAATTTCTACAGAAAAGAAACAAAAATGAAGTTAGTTCAATGAAATAAACTAGTTTATATGGTCATATTCACTAAGTAGAATAAGTTTACCTGAAATTTAGGAGCTAGACGTGGAGCCACAAATTTTCTCCAAGCGTCTTCATCAAGAAATGAGTAAATATCACATGGATTTTCATCCTGTTTAGGCCCTCGAATGTAAGTACGAGTGAGAATTGTCTTAAAATCTTTCCATCGCTCGCGTACTTGGTCTAGCCACTGTCTTCTCATCTCCTCTGTGGGAGGGATATCATAGGTTTTCTGTGAAGTTCATTGGTAATGAATGAAATTAGAATATTTAACAGTAAGAAATATTATTAAAAAGTATAAGAAGTTTATGAAGTTACATACCAACATATCTTGCCAAATCGCATCCTTTGTTTTAGGGGGTACTTCTTTCCAGCTAGAATACAGAATGCTCACTTTGCTTCGACCTAGAAGGCCTATGTAGCTTATGAACCTATCTGCTTCTGGACCAACTAGATTCATATTATCATCAAAATTCACATGCTTCCTTTGAATTTTCCCATGACGTACTGCTAGCTTTGGCATTCTCATGGTGCCTTTACCCCTTTTTCTATAAGGTTCATCGTGCCCTTGATCTTCATCAAAATTGTCCATATTTCTATCATCATCCTCCATGTCCTGTTAGTAAACCAGAGTGAACCAAGTGAGTCAACTGTAATGAAATCAATAAAAAATTAACAAATAAGAAACACAAAATTCTAATATAGTGCATAACTTTTCCGTTAGAGTCTTACATTATGCATTTTCCCATATTCCTTCACAGTGATCATTCCTAACAGCATATTCATCATCGTCATCTACCAATTCTACTTCATTCAATAGAGGTGGATTTGTAGTGAAAGGTGATGTCTCATCAATACTAAAGGTTGGATCACTGTCTTTTTGTTTTTTACCTTGAAGCACAAATGACAATTTGGTATTTGCAGGATCGGTGACATAAAATACCTGTTTTGCTTGACTTGGTAAAATGAATGGTTCATCTGTATAACCAATCCTATGAAGATCAATTAACGTAAATCTAAATTTTGATCTACTTGAACACCATTATTGTTAACCCACTTACACTTGAAGATAGGAACTTTAAAATTTGTGTAACTTACGTCCCATATCTCCTCAATAATACCATAATAGGCCATGAATGCCAATTTAGGGTTTTTATCTTTGGCGCTAGAGAAATGCATTGCTTCAGCAACTACCATTAACCCACTATTCTGCATGATACTTTTCTCATCTTGAGCTTTTGTATAGAAGGAATACCCATTTATATCATATCCACTCCAAGTGGTGACATCAAATCGAGGCCCCCAAGCTAGCCATTTTATTGTGTCAGAAACATTTGTCTCCCTCCAAACCTGTTCCTTGAACCACGCAATAAATGTCTTGTTATGCTCATTAGCTATCTGTCTATCACTTTTCTTTGGATACTTGTCCTTTGAAATCTGCTTATGGTTATCTAAGTATGATTGAACTTCTTTCATATTATTTAAAATGTATAAGTGCACTTGGAACAGTTCTTCACGGACAATACTCTTCACTTTAGGCCCTCGAGTTCCCTTACCTATCCCATCGTCATGTCGAGCTTGTGCTTCCACTCTAGATAGATATCTTTTGCAAAAGTCTATGGCCTCTTCAGCTACATATCTTTCAACAATTGATGCCTCAGGTCGATAAGGGTTCTTCGAATAACCCTTTAAGACTTTCATGAATCTCTCAAATGGATACATCCATCTTAGATATACAGGGCCACAGAGCCTTACCTCTCTTACTAAATGCACTATCAAATGTACCATGATATCAAAAAATGCTGGAGGAAAATACATTTCTAGTTGACACAGAATAACATACCCCTTTTTTTTCCAATTCATCTCACTTTTCAGTGTCAATAACTTTGCTGCAGATAGCATTGAAAAAAAGACACAATTTAGTTATCGTGTTTCTCACATCATCTTTCATAATACCTCGAATAGCCACTGGTAATAGTTGCTGCATCAATACATGATAATTGTAACATCCAGACTTTTGGGCCTAGAAGCATCAAAAGTAGCCTGAATTGGATAGGCTACCAGACCCTTTTTGAGCAGAAGTCCCGAAGATGAGAAAGGAAGGCAAAGCAGTTTCAGGGATTAAACTGCAAAGTAAAGTTTTAAGGGGCTAAAGTGTAATCAAAGTTAGAGGCTCCAGTAAAGTCTCAAAGGCCCAGAGAGAGTAAAGAGGCTAGATACAGGCCAAGGGTTAAGTTAGAAGCCTCAAAAAGAGGATTATATGAAGTTAAGTCCAAGCAGGGACTAAACTGTAAATTCAAGAAGTTATGACCAGCAAGGGCAAAAATGGAAGAGTGTACAGAAAATTTCAAGAAAATCCTAGAAAATGGGAAATAATATTCTAAGACTCTTCTATGAAGAGAAAAGATGAAAATACCCCTGAGATAGCTTAAATGGAATTTATGAGGTTATGGCCAGTAAAAAGTATACTGTTTGAGGTAGTTATTTAAAATAGCAAGAGACCTCAAAAATGTATGTAAAAATGAGGATTAATTGGTTGAAAGGTTATATAATTTATAAAATTAGTCCCGCAACCAAAAAGCCAGTGGAATGGCTTTAATAAATTAAAGAGTAGATTACACCAATAAAAGGGTATTTTAGTAAATGAATTTTATACAAGGCTTAGAGGAAGTGTTATGGCCTGAGAAAATTCATAGATACTCTCTAGAATGAAGGGGAATTTATGGAGTAGATAGAAGAATTTTCTGAACCCTGGAAGGCCATAAAGAAAGTCAGAGAAATGTGGGCCAAGTAAATTCGGAGGAATTGAGTTTGATCCAACGGCTAGGATTTAATCTCCCTTCTCCTCCGCCACTTTTATGACACTTGGTATCTTCTAGAAGGATGAGGTAAGGATGATGCAAGAAGATGATGCAATGATGATGTAAAAGTCAACTTGAAGTTCCAAGATTGCCCTTACCCTTTCTATTAGCCACCAAGGGTATTTTGGTCCATTCAAGCCAAATTTTTGGCTATAAATAGGCACTCCCTCCCCTCACATTTCATCCAAGCAAGGAACCATAGGGGAAACTCTACCGCTCTTGCATCTAGAGAGAGAAAGAGCTATTTCTAGTGAGAGAAAGTCCACCTAAGTTCAAGCTTCAAGATCAAGGTATGTGGTGGCTGTAGCATCTGATTTGATACCTATTTCAAATTAATTACTGTGCGTATCTGATTTTGAAATTTTTTATGCTTAAAGTACACTCTGTAAGCTTTAAATCCATGGGTAGAACACTTCAGTTGGATATGTGTATGATTTATGGTGATTTTTCAAAGTTAGGGTTTGAAATCTGGAAACAGTGTTGAACTTTTGGAAGAGTTTCGAGTTCCATACTATTCTGGTATTGTTCTGCATAGAATTGGTTCCTGAAACTATTTTTCCTTTAAATTTAACTTAAGGATCTTTCAGTGAGACTTGGAAACACTCAATTTGGATTTTTATAGATTTAAATATGAATTTTCAAAGTTGAGCAAAAATTCTGGAGTTTCTGCGTGAACAGCACCCGCGAACCAAAATTTCCAGATTTGGTATTCTTGAATCTAAGGCCATCTAAAGTGGTCCTAATTGACAAGAAATGGATCTTAAGGATGGGAAATGATAACATTTATATTAGAAAAGTTAGAAAGAAAACCCTAAGACTAAGGGAAAGGGTTGAGGTTCAAGAAAGCTAGTCTTGAACTTTATGTAATCTAATGGTCCTAATGGATTGTGTGATCATTATGGTTATGTTTAGGAGCTTTGGAACATCCAAGAGGATGTTTGGTGATGTTGACCAAATGCCCACATGGTTGGAAAGTCAAGGGAGTCAAAGGAAAAGTAAGAGGAAAGCTTGAGGTGCAAGGTAGTGAACTTACCCTTTATGTGCTTGACATGGTATGCTCATGTGTTGGTTTGTATTTGTTGTTTGAATGATGTTGTGACATGATGATTGTTGCTGGAAATGCTGTTTTTAATGTGTTCCCATGGCCATGCATTTTTATACCAAGCATAAAGCATGATGGCATGTCACTAGTTAACTTAAGTTTATGAAAAACTACATACCATACACTAGCATCCATCTTGTGCATATATGTGGTAATGTTTGCTACTGAGATTCCCCCGAATCTCACCCCTTCGTAACCAACCATTTAGGTCAATCAATGATGGGCACTAATGGCATGAGAAACAAGGAGAAGAAGTGGAGAATTATTGATGCTAATGATTGATACTAATATTCAATGTATAATTCTCCTATGTTATGACTTACGTTGTGAATGCCATGTATTTAATTATAAAGCTTATGGCATGTATAGGAATGTATGAGCATGAATGGAAAAAAGTAAGCCCATGTTAGGTATGCCAAAGAAATAAAAAGAATTAAAGTAAAGAGATGTTAAGGGATAAAACGTAGGTCATAGAGCAGTTAGTTTCGAGCTTCAGTTTGACCTATCATATGAATGAGTTAAGCTACAAAATTTGGTATACTTATAGTGCACATCCCAAGCTTTAAAATGAGTGGTGAATCACCTCATTTGGATGTTTATAAGAAGAGATATGAATTTTCAAATTTAAGACGGAGAATCTGGAAAGTCCAGATTTTACCAAACAAATAGTAATCTTAATCCAATAAACTGTACGTTTTCAGTGAGGGTGAGTTTAGTTGAATATTTTTCCCTTAAAGAGCATTGAAAGAGCTTTTTGTAGAATTTTGGAACACCTCCATACGATTTTTCTAGAATTAGTTATGGTTTTTCAAAGTTGGACCTGTAATCTGAAAACTGGACAGTGAACAGTAATTTTTCGAAAATTAACATCCAAATTGAAATTTTTAAGTGTAAGACCATCCAACATGGTCTGGAATGGTCCTAAATGAATGCTAAGGTATTATGTAAGTAAGGTGTGACAATAATCATGAGATTTCATCCCGACTAACTTTAAATCATCCATCAAGACAAGCTTTTTCATATTAGAAGAATAACGCTGTGGCACCTTAACGTTATGCAAACATCGGCACAAGCTAGTTTTCTCTGCTTTTGACAACGTGTGTGCCGCTGGCTCCAAATAAACCCTCTTGCCACCCTCTTTTAGTTGCAGATGTAACTGTTCTCTTATTCCTATTCCAGCTAAGTCTAGTCTTGCATGGATTCCATCCTTAGTTTTTTTTGGTATGTGCAAAAGAGTACCAATAAGGCTATCACAAACGTTTTTCTCCATATGCATCATATCAAGACTATGTCTAACATCAAGATTACACCAATATGGGAGATCAAAGAATATGGATTTTTTTTCCAAATGTTCTTCTCACCTACAATCTTTTTATTCTTACCAAACAAACATCAATTCTTTCCACTTTATGATAAACTTCCTCTCCAGTTAATGGCTTCGGAGCCAATCCATGTTCTGGTGTACCATTAAAAACCTTTTTCAATCTACGGTATGAGTGGAATCGATCAAGAAACCTCCTATGACCCAGATAAATTGTTTTCCTTCCATGCTTAAGTTGGTGGTAGTGTGTGTCCACTTCACATATAGGACATGCTTTATGTCCCTTTACACTGTATCCTGACAAGTTTCCATAGGCAGGAAAATCATTTATCCTCATGAAGATAATTGCATGCTGCTTAAAGGACTCTTTTTTATGTGCATCGAACACATCTACGCCTTCCTCCCACAATTTCTTCAAGTCTTTAATCAAAGGTGCCAAGTAGATGTTGATATTGTTCCCCGGCTGTTTTGGTCTCGATATCATCATAATAAACATCATATACTTGCGCTTCATGCATAATCAGGGAGGTAAGTTGTAAATCACAACCAAAACTGGCCATGCACTATGTGTGCTGTTAAGAGTACCGTAAGGATTAATTCTATCCGTACAAAGCCCAAGACGAAGATTTCTTGGCTCACTACCAAATTCTGGATACATTTCATCTATTTTCTTCCATTGGGGAGAATCAGCAGGGTGCCGAAGATATTTTCCATATGATATTTTCTCATCAACATGCCATGTGATCTTTTTTGCCTCTGTTGCATTAGCAAACAACCCTTTGAATCATGGTATTATCGGAAGATATCATAGTACCTTCAAAGGTTGCCCTTTAGTTGTCTCATTAGTATCGCCATCATCACTACTATCTTTATGCTTTTTCACTTTATATCGTGAAGATTTGCATTTTGGACACTCATTAAGATCAGCATACTCTTCCCTGTATAATATGCAATCATTAGGACAGGCGTGTATCTTTTCATAGCCCATTCCCATCTGAGACAAGATTTTCTTTGCCTCATAAACACTATTTGGAAGAACATTATCAGCCGGAAGCATATCACCCAATAATTGAAATAATTCTATAAAACTTTTATCTATCCATCCATTAGTTGCCTTCAAATTGAATAACTCCAATACAGCTGTCAACCGTGTATACGTAGAACACCCAGGGTATAAAGCTATTTGTACATCACTTTGCAAGCTATCATTTATATGCGATTGTGCGGAGAATCCTAGCCCAACATCATGAATCATATCATGCATTCTATCATTGAATCCACCCACCACTTCCTCTTCGTCAACCAATGGCATTGTTCCTCTTTCGCCATGCCATATCCATCTTGTATATCGAAGATTTATCCCCTCACAAAATAAGTGATCCCTTAAACCATCAATAGTCAAACGTCTCCCATTTAAACAATTAACACAGGGGCAAAAATACTTTCCACTTTTGTCATAAGCATTCTTTTTAGTAAATTCAATAAATTCTTCTACCCCGTCCTCATACTCCTTAGATGTTCTCAAAGCACTCATCCAACTACAATCCATTCTGTTAATATAAAAGTAATTGTACAAAAAATTAAATTTAATTTAAGACCGAAATCAACATTACTTTAATTTCATCCAGCTCAATTCCAAGAAAATTTATGCAGCTCAACTAATTTCAACAATTTAATCATTCTAAATTAAGCATTTTAAAAAATTTACAAAATAAAAAATTCATATAATTCATACAGATAGCCATTTCATCAAACACTATAACTACTACAAGAAAATATTTAAAACCACTCATTATTCTTCATAACTCATAGATATCATGAAAACATAAATCTAAATAATAGAAAATCAAAAACTCATCAATTCCATTCTATTGATTATACATGCATCTGCCTTACCCACAAGTTACTTAAAAATCTAAATTACAATACAATCACAAGCTAGACTCCTAATTCCAACAGTTCATCAAACAACAATAAGCAACATATATGATCAATTAATCTTTAAAAAGATATCATACCTACTTATGAAGTGAAGAATGCAAAATGAAGAGAGTTGCAGATTACCAACAAGTAAGCTGTAAACACCAAAAAAAATATGAGTGAAAAAAAAATACTGTGGGTGGGGTTACGGGAGTTGGACGTCGGTTGGAAGGGGGTCGAGTGGGGGGGGCAGGGGCGAGTGGGGATAGGGGAGTGGGGCTTGGTTGGGCGGCAGGGGTAGGGTCGGGGTGGCAGGGGCGTCCATGGGTGGGGGCAAGTAGGGACGCGGGGGTGGGGTTAGGGGGTGGTGGCGTCTACGGGGTAGGGGGAGTGGGGACGCTGAGGTGGGGGGAGTGGGGACGGGGGGTCGGGGGCAGGGGCGAGGAGGGGGGATCGTGCCGGTGGGGGTGGGGTCGGGGGGTGAATGGGGTGGGGGGAGTGGGGACGCAGGGGGAGGGCCACTTGAATGCGTATGTGGGGACAGGGGGGCCGGGAATGGGGACGGCGATATGGGGGATGGGGAGAGAGTGTGCTATTTTGGAGACAGGCGTGGCGTCGTGGGTGGGGAGACCAAAGAGAATGAAGCTGATAAGATGAGGGTGAAAATGAAGGGTGTTTTGTGGGGAGTGTGGACGGGAAAGAAAAAAAAAAAGGGGCCATATTCGTCTGTTGGGCCCACCAGATGAATATAGACCCATTTATTTGTCTGTTTTGCTGACCAGACGAATAAGGATGCCTATATTCATCTATTTTATCCCAATTGACGATTATGGACTCCCGTATGCGTCTGTTTTCAATTTTAGATGAAAATAGTAGACGAAAATGAACTTTTTTGTAGTAGTGTAAATTTTCAAATTTTTAGAATTTATACCTAACTTTAGATAGGCATAACTTTCTATACAAAAACTCTAATTTTGATTAAATACACTTGTTTTAAATCTAAAAATATAATCTATAAGTCTGCCAAGTTTACGCCAAAATCTCAACCATTTGACCAGAATCACATTGATATGAAAATGAGGCATTATTAGGGGTTATTTTATCCCATTTTCATGCTTTTTCCTGACTTTTCTCTTCTTTTGACACCATAGAATCATTTCATTCACATACTACATGTTTAAGCATGATTCCTTAATCAATCATTCACATTCTTGTCATCTTAGATCATCATTACAAAAGCCCAAAATAATTTACACAAGGTTAAACAACAATCTGTCAAAAGGCATCAAAATTTACTTCTATCCTAAGACAATCACCTTGTCTTTCTCCTTGCTTGGTCCAACCCCTAATTGGTTAACAATTTGAATATAAAGGAATGAGATTTCATAGAAAATCTAAGTAGCAATAATTCACAATTATCATGTTAGTCATGCTATGCAAAAATGTGACATGTTATCATGAAACTAGAATTATCATGCACATGATTTCATATGCTTTCCATTTTCCATGGATAGAGGGCCACATAGCCTATCATTAAGCCATTCACATTGCATATTGCCAAGGCATATTATACATAGAAATTCACACATATTCACATAGCTTGTTCCATCACATCATGGCAATATAAAACAAGTAACACATGCACATTCAAACAAGCAAGATAGCAATCAAATTATGAATTCAATGCTACCTCTTGCTTAAGTATATGTTTCAGCCTCATTAAGTCTTTAATGCTCCTCCTTATTTTCTTGCATAATGCCTATCAATCCAAGCATAAACACATTCCACATTACTAATAATTCAAAGCATAAACACTATTACTCAATAACATATTCATATAAACCCCTTTTTTCTTGATTTGTAACATCATTGTTTCCTCTTTGTTTTAATCAATCTCTTAAACCATTCTTACACAATTTTTCATGTTCCAAATATCAACTTAGATTTAACTAAATCATGCTCCTTTCCCCTTAACTCAACTTGGCCGAATAGGATGTTAAAGATGTCCTTGGTTTCAATTTTTGATTCCAATAATTTTAAACACTTTTTCTTAGTGTTTTTCCACGCAAAATCACCTTCTAAACTCATTAGAATCATCAAATCACATTTGAAATGTCTTGCCTTTAAACCCTCAGAGCATGCATTCGTAAGCGTTATGGTTCAAGCAGATCATGACACAAGCCCGTGGATTTAAAATTTCAACATAATTACTCAAGTTACTATTTACTGTTTAAGTTCTAGATTACAGGCCCGATTTCAAAAATTCATAACTAATTCCATAAAAATTGTATTGAGGTGTTCTAAAATTCTACAAAGAGATATTTCAATCCTCTTTAAGGAAAAAATATCCAATTGGACTTATCCTTGCACAATCCGTACATTTTAATTAATAAATATTACTGTTCATTTTGTAAAATCTGGAACTTCCAGATTCTATGCCTCAACTTTGGAAATTCGCATCTCCTTGTGTATACATCCAATTAAGGTGATCTACCTCTCATTTTAAATCTTGGGATGTGTACTATGAGCCTGTAAAATATTGTGACTTAACTCATTCGCTTGATAGGTCAAACTGGAACTACAAACTCACTGCTTCAAGACCTATGTTTTATCCCTTAACATCTCTTTACTTTAATTCTTTTACTTCTTTGGCATACATAACATGGGATTACTCTTTCTCATTCATGCTCATACACTCTCATTTATGCCATAAATATTATAATTAATTACATGGCATCATAGGTATCCATAATATAAATTACATAATAGGAGAATTATAGATTGAATAATAATATCATTCATTACCATGAATAATTCTCCACTTTCTTCTCCTTGCTTCT